ATGAAGCTTCCGCAACAACCCACAAGAGCATAATTGCCTGCAAATTAAATTTAGATCATAGAAAAATTTATAGAATTATCTAGAACTAGAAGTAACTGGCAGCTACGTGGCTCCACCCCCTCCATTTTTGCAGGTGTAAAGTGAGGCCCAGAGATTCTTAGGAGAGTTACCCAAAGTCAACAGCAAGAAGTGACACAACCAGAGTGATCACCCAGAGCCAACTCCCTTGCTCTTTCTCAGTGCTAAAACACACATGCACACATACACACACAAGTTCTAAGTTAGTTTTTTTAAATGAACTTAGTATTCATTAGAAATTGACAGAAATATGGTCTTTAATATATAAAAGAACACTGAAATAAATGGTATTTTTACCCTAACCCTGACACACCCACTCATCCATTTTGGATGCTATGAGAGATAGATAAATTAATTTACATAGGGCATAGGTGCATTCTAAAGAAGAAAAGAACTGAAAACCCTTGTATTTGACGATTGAAGTAATTAAAACATATTAGTTGATCAGAGGTGATCCTGAGTAAGGTCAAGCAGGAAGAAATGAATTTCCTGCCTAAAAAAGAACTCAGCTGAGACAGAACCAAGCTCACAGGATCCACGATTGGGAAGGAATAGTTTCCCAAACACATCCAGCCATTGTGGCTTATTCAAAAATCTAATTTTCCAGCTGAAATGTTCCATTTCCCCCATTAATTCTTGCAACAAGATGTAGTAACAATGAGGTGCATCTCTTTTCCATCCTTCAGAGCCAGCCTCTTGAAAACAGGGACCATATTCTTTCATCTTGGTAACACCAGTATCTCTTACATGGCAAATGTCTCAGAAAGAATCTTGTTGGATTTAATCAAATTTATGTCATATTCCAACTGCATAGAATTAGTTTTAAATGTCAAGGATCATTCAATTGGTTAGGAGTCTCTACCTTAGAGAACCATTAAATTACTTAAGACATAAATATTTGGGGCCTATGGGACCATGTGTGTCAACCAATAGCTTATTACATATAGAATTGGGCAAAAGCAAACATCACATGGAGGCTCAACTTCCTTCCTGAGGAATAAAGGTAGCATGTGCCTCATCTATCACAAAGTATATCTGCGTGGATTAAAACATATTCACACAAAATCCCAGTATTACAACCTTTTAAGAAAATTTCCATTTTTATAAGTCTTCATGTGACTTCATTATTTGTCTTGAAAATACACAAAAGCTAAGGCCAAAAGAGAAATGAAAATTTGTGTTACACATTTTTACCCATTTGATGCTGATCTGTTATCCTCTATGTAAAAACTATTTAATTAAAAATAATAATATCAAATTATTTTAATAAGATGGGTTGAAATCCTCTGGCCACATTTCACAGCTTTAGTCAGAGCTCAGCTGTTGTCTGAAAGTTGCCACATGGGAATTTACTGGCAATTGCAAAATCAGAATTATAAAATCAGAGATGAGGATTTCATCCAAATCTAGGCTTCTCCTTCTGTATAAGGCTGCAAGAAATAATATAGTGTTTTTTAAAAAAATTTATGAATCTCCAAAGAATGATTCCAGCCTTATTCATCATAGCTAATATTTTTCTAACTTTTGGTTTTGCAAAGTTCTCCACTCGTGGTTGCATCTCCACATGTGGAGTTCATGTCTTGTTCTAGCCCCAGCCAAGTGGCTTGCTATTCTACCCTCAGTCATCTTCCAAGTTAGATAATAGACTCAAACTTCATAACCTAAAAATCACAGGAAATAATTTGATCCCATTATTCCTTTATACATTTTTACCTACTCTCTTCTGAATGTCTTTGATTTCTCTGGAACTGTTAGAATGCATAGAATTTGAAAAGGAACATAATAAAATAAAAATAATGCTACTATGATTCAGTGAATGGAAAATAGTAATGGAAAAGGAAACTGGCTTTCCAGTCTCAATTGTGCTCTAAACTTGCTGTTTTCCCCTGAACACACCACCTCCTCTCATTGTAGCTCAGTTTCTCTCAATGTAAAATATATCTTAGTGGATTTCTACTCTAGGACTCAGTGATGGCCTGAGAATAGATAAGTAGGCATTTTTTAAGTCCCAAGATGGTGTTTTTTCCCAGACACTAGATGAATTCTTTTCTTTGTAAAATAATGAATGGATGAAGTAGGTAGATAGATAAACAGACATACAAGAGAGTATTTCAAGAGATTTCAAGACAAAAAAAGAGAGGAGGAAAATATCCCTGTATGTATAGTTATGTTCTGGAAACTAAAAATTGTACTTCATGCTTATATAACCATTACTTTCAAAATTATGCACAGGCTCGTGTCTAATAAACAAGCAGCAACTTTTTGGTGGTGAGTTTGAGGTTATAGGAATATTCTTATAAAAGAAGGTATAAATTTATTTTTAAAAACCACTAGGAATTAAATTTTAAAATCCTAGGGATATGTAGAAGAGTTGGTGTCCAGAAAAAGAAGAAAAACAAGTATATTCTGCTCCACATCTACAATGAGAAGGGATGTCAATTTCTACCACAATTGAAATAATGTATTTTGGAATAGTCACCCTCTGATTCAGGAATTTTATGGTTAGTAAATTTTGGTTGGTGTAATATGCAAATAACAACTTTTAAAGGAAAGAATGGTTTTGATGATTAGTTTATAAGAGAAATAAAACTCTGGGATGTGTTCGATAAGAGTGGAGAAGTTTGAGATACTTTGAAACAGGTCTCCATCACTTCTAGAGTAAAGATCAAAACCCTCACTATGGCACACTTGATTATGCTGTATTTTTCATGTTTCTTCCATCATCAACTTTGTAAACTTGTATTTCCGACAATACTCCATGGGTTTCATTTCTTTGAGGCTTTGTACTCTTTTTCCTTTCAGACTTAAATGACTCCCTCCCAAGCTCTACACTTCATAGTTTAATAGGATTGAGATTTAGCATTACCTCATTGACTTGTCCATCCATTCATTCTGCATCCATTATTTCAAGCACCTGTTATTCCCAAACAAGAATGGAAACGTGTATTAGTTAGGTCCACTGCCCTGGAGCATCTTACAATACAGAAGAGAAATTTGATATGTTTAATAAAGTGCTGTGGGAATTGAAATTAGGTTAGACTAAAATGTATAAGAAAAATGGCCAGAAGATACAGACAGATCAAAGGAAGGAGTTAACCTTTTCCTGCAGCCGCAGGGATCAATAACTGGCAGACTTGCATAGCACTGTTTGATTATCCCTACTCACCTACTTCATGAGGAAGATTGCCCCCTGCCCTGCCCTGTTTCCCCAGGAGCACACAGTAGAAATCCATAGGCAGATTGGTGAGTGTGTGACAGTAAGTTCCTTTACGTGTTAGTTCACAGCTACTGCAAATTATCCTACATTCTGCCTTGAAAACTTGGTTACAATTTTAAGAGTTCTCACTGATTTGGATGATACCCACATTGATCTTCCATCTCTGCTGAAAAGGAAACAGCTTGTGTCTTAGCTCTTGTCACTTTGTGGAATTCAAATTACTTGGGTCCAAGAAGACTCAGGTTTCTGATAGTAAGTATATTATGTAAGTACTGTATTTTATTTTCCTAATTTTTCAGATTATCCAGGATTTCTCCAATGGCAGGGTGGGACCACTGTGTGCCAAAGACATTTTATATCATATAAAGGAACATAAACTTCCATTTCTTTTTGTTGTTGTTTTTGTTGGTGGTGGTGGAGATGGTGTTGTTGTTGTTGTTGAGACAGGGTCTTGTTATGCAGTTCAGGCTGGCCTTGAGCTCACTGTGCAGTCCAGGCTGACCTCAAACTCACAGCGATCTTTGACCTCAGCCTCCTGAGTGCCAGAATTACAAGCATGCACCACCTCACCAGGCACATCCATTTCCTCTTAAATTAATTTTGGTAATTTGTGCTTTTCAAGGAGTTTATCCATTTAGGCTAAATTTTCAAATTTTTTGTCATAGCAGGGGATTTAGCTCAGTGGCTTCATGCAGGTCCTGAGTTCAATCCCTGGTACCAATAAAAAAGAAGCCAAATTTATTGGCTTGAAGCTCTTCATAATATTATTTAAAACACTCTTATCTGTGAGATATGTAGTAATGCTCTCTATTTCTTTTCTTATATCAACAATTTCTGTTCCTCTACTTTCTTGATCAACCTATTTATATATTAACCAACTTAGTGGATATTATTAAAAAATCTTTTATTTTTATTGTTTTCTCTATTATGTATCTTTTTATTGAGTTCTTTTTTTTTGAAAGAGAAATTTTTTATTAATTCTTTAGACATCAGAAATTATATACCAATGCCGTTCACTTTTTAAATATTCCTTATGTTATACATAGCATATGCCATATTACCAAATACAGTGGACCCTCAAGTTATGACTGGAGTGACATTCGAACAACTTAGGCTAATTGGGTTAATGGAAGATTCATCTGCCTCTTGTTATCTATAGCATGTACCTAGGTAAACATCCAGATCTCAGCTGTATAGACTTATAACCAGCCCTCCCTCAGGAACCGATCAAGTTCGTAAGTCAAAGGTCCACTGTATAATTTACATAAAAATTCTAATATACTTTGTTTTTTTCACATTCCCTAATTTTCTGCTTCTGTACTTTCCATTTGAAATATATTTCCTTTATTTAATAAAAATTAAAAACTTTTACATTTACTTCTAACCTTTGGATTCTCTGGAATACTTTCAAAATTAATAATTTCTCAATAATGTAATATGACTAAAAATATCCAGTAAGAAACCCCCTATAATTACAAAAGGGGGAAATAAGGACTAAAAGAAAGCTATTGACTTACGAATTCTTCACAAATTTTATGATTCTCTATGACAGATGAAGAAACTTCTTAAAATGTAAAGAACTATAAATAAAACTTTTATTTTAAATGTGATTCAAACTAAAGAATTACACATAATTTATACTTTATGACAATCAACATAAATATATTTATAACTCAGACAAATCACTTTGTAAAGAAAACCCCTCTGCTTTATTTTATCCTAAGTTTTCCTGTGGAGTATGAGCAAAGAATTTAAAGTTATGCTGTGCCACTAAAGACTAACAGCAATGCTAGGGCAGTTTAAATAGGATGTACCTACATAACGTAAATATTAGGGTTATTTTCTTTGGAAAGTCATCTTGCAAACAAAAAGAAGCAGCCCAAATCCGCATACTGTAATAGCTGTGCTCTTCAAAATTCTACTCTTCCATGTAGATATTTCCTCCATTAATGGTATATGAGTTGGATCATTTTCTCATTCATTTTGCAACTTCTGAATTAAGTCTTTCAATTTGCAGACCTCTTCACTCAAAGCTTCAACATTACTAACCAGTTCTTTACAAACTGAAGTGAAATTCTGGGGAGAAACCCATTCTAGTACTATCTTGTGAGAATTTACAGGTAACTCAGTAATGATATTCTGTACAGCTGTTATTAAATGGCCACACTGTTTAATTTTAGAAGAAAGTTGAGGAACTCATCACCACTGATTTCCAACTTTGCCACTTCAGGTAACTCTGCATAATTTATCTCTCCTACCTCCAATTCTTTAAGAGCAGCTATAATTTTTTGCTGATCTTTACTGCTAATTCCATTCTCTGTAAACTCATCTTTTTTCATGGTCAAAAAGTGTCTTAAAGTTATATCCTTTTCCTTTAGTAAGTCTGTCATATGTTCCAGTCCAAGACGATGCAAAAATATCTCCAGGTCTCCAAATGCTGTATATGAACCAAATATGTGATCCTTTTCTTTATCAGAATCTGCTCTCAGTAGTTTACAAATAGTCTCTTCTTTAGTTAGCTGTGGAAGCTTTCCTTCCAATGGATTCAAAGTCAAAGAAAGAAAGTTGAAGATCTCAAGATGTTTATTTCTTTTTGCAACCTCACTTGGTGTTTTTCCATCTTTGGTTTGTAGCATTTTATTAGCTCCAAGTTCGAGTAACTTCAAAACTACATTTTTATGACCCTGATGTGCTGCCCATGTTAAAGCAGTGTAACCGTTCTCATCCTGGGCATTAATGTCTGCTCCATGAACAACAAGGAGAGCAACAACCTGAGGGTGACCATCACGTGCAGCATACATGATTGGAGTCATAAGTCTCCTACAAGCAACATTTGGATCAGCATTTCTTGAAAGTAATAGATCTACGCACTTCAAGATTTGTCCCTCTGAGCCATGAGCAGAACATGCAGTTATCAAAATAGTCTGCTTATCTTTATTAAAGCTTGCATTAGCACCTCTGTCCAAAAGGACCCGAACCAGTTCTATGTTGGCAACACTAGCAGCATACGTAAGAGGAGTCCATCCATAACAAAAGATAGACTCTATGTCGATACCAGAATCTAGAAGCTCCTCTACTAAGGAAGTATCTCCGGTAGTCAATGCCTCCTTGAACATTTCACTCTTTTCTTCAGTGGGAAATGCCCTTTGTAATTTCTGACACGCCTCGTCCAGATACCCAGTCTCCCAGCCATCGTCCTCGCTATGGCTACTCTCGCCTCCTCCGGCCACTGGCAAGCCCCGCAGCGCGCCCACCGCCACGTCTGCCCCTCAGCTTTCTTCTTTTTATTGATTTCTAAAGTTATCTCAACTATATACTTCCTTCCACTTTACATTTGATTTGTTTTTTACCTTGCTGCTTATACCAATTTCATAAAACTTTCTTTTTTTCCTACTACGTATATTTAAAACTATAAATGTCCCTCTTACTATTGCTGAAATATGTGAAATTTCTAATTTTCCTGTGCTTTCTTTTTTTGGCCCAGGAGTACAGTTATGGCTTGTGTCTAAATGGATGTCCCCACAAAGCCTCATGCAGTCATAGATGGGTTTTTTTCAGAAGTGGCTGGATCTAGAGTGTGTGATGCTGGGATGGATTTATGGTACAATGCTAGATTCAAGGGCACTAGGATTAGGGGTGTGAGTGCTACCCATGTTAAGTAGACTGGATAAGATATAAAGGATAGAAAGAGCTGTGGTTTTCCTTTGTTACTTTACTACCTTCCACCCACCATGAACTGTTTCTTGGAGCCAGCTGATTATGGAGTGAAGCCTCTACAAGCAGTGAGTACAATAAACCTTTCCTCCTTTAACTTTGGATGTCAGTTATTTTGTCTGAGCAACAAGAGAAAAATAACTAAGACAAGTACTTAATAGACAAGTAATTTAAAATTTCAAAATATCTGTAGATAATTGCAGATATTGTTCTATTTTTACTTCTAATGTAATTCTATACAGAGGAGAGAACAGACTGTCACATTTCAGTCTTTTTAATGTATTGAGATTTGTTTTATAGTCACTCACACGCACTTTAAAAAGATGTATATTTTGCAGTTGTTGAATGTAGTATTCTAGCATTGTCAATTGAGTAAAGATGGTTGGCAGTGTTGTGCAATGCTTCTACCTTCTTATGATTTTCTGCCCAGTAGCTAACTCTAACAATCCTAAAGGAAGAATGCTTAAGTCTCCATCTTTACTATGGATATTTGTGCATTTGTCTGTTTCCTTTTCAGGTTGGTCAGCTATTGTTTCATCTATGTAAAACCTTAATAATGGAATGTAACACAGTTTATCTTGTTATTGCTTTTGAATTGACCTCTTCATCACAGTCAAATGTCTCTTTTCTATCTCTTATATTATTCCCTGTTCTGAACACTACTTTTTCTGGTGTTACTATGATCACTCTAGCTATTGTATAATTACTGTTATATATTTTCTACTTCTCTTTTAAGCTATTACATCTTTTATCTAAAGTCAGGATCTTTCGGACAACATAGATTGGATCTTACTTTTTATTCAATCTCACAATGTCTGACCTCTAAATAGAGGATTTTAAAAAAATTAGTCTTTAACACTTGTATCTAATGTGTTTATTTATATGATCATATTCAAATTTACCATCTTACTAGTCAATACCAGCTTATCTCTTCTGTTTCTTTTCCCTTCCTCTTTTTGAATTTATTGAATAATTTTTATATGTGCTTTTCACTTACTATCTATGCATCTTTGTTTTACTTTTATTAATTGCTTCAGGGTCTAAAAAATTCATTTTAGAGAATCCAATATCTCATCAACTTATATTATTCCACATCATCTATAATGTGACCTCACAAGAGTGTGTACCTACTTATTCTCTTTTCATTCTATGTGTGATGGGTTATATAATTTACTTGTAACTGTAAATATAATAGCTCCTTGTTGATACTTTTGCTTCAAGAAATAAATTTTATTTTAGAGTTTTTTAGAAAACATTTATTCCCTTATTTAATGTTTCCACTGCTCCTTTATTTAATAAATATGAAGGTTTAGTTGATGTCATTTTGCTTTTGCCTGAAGTACTTTATCTCATATTTCTTGTACTGTAGGTCTCCTGAGGGTGACACTGATCCTTTTCTGTAATCTGTAAAAGTATTCATTTTACCTCTAATTTTCAAACTATATGGTTACCATAGGTAGAATTCTAGAATAACTTTAATTTTTCATCATTTCAAAAATTTAAGTCTAATTTCTTCTGTCTTATATCATTTCAGACAAAAAATGCTATAATTCTTTTTTCTCTATGTTACTATTAATTTTTTCTTGTAGCTTTTAATTTTATTTGTTACTAGGTTTCAAAATTTGTTGTATTGAGGATCTTATATCTGTGAGTTTACAGTTTTCATCACCTTTGGGAAATTTGACTATTTTTAAAAAATATATAGATCTCTGTCCCCTTTTTTGGTGTCCAATACATATATTATTTAGCACTTGATACTGTTATTGTCCCACAGTTCACAGGAGTTCTATTGAAATTTCTAGGACTTATTTTCTTCTCTGTTTCATGTGGGTAGTTTCCATAAATATATTCTAAAGTTCAGAGAGAATTTATTTTATAATTTATAGCCTGCTTTCATCCCTGAAGGTATATTTATAACTTGAGATATTATATTTTTCATCTCTAGAATTTCCATTTGAAATTCTTTTATATCTTCCACTTTTCTATTCATTATATTCATATTTTCTTTTAATTCTTGAACACATTTTAATAAATAATTTAACAATTTAAGCTTCCTTTTTGCTTATTCCTTCATGCCTATCTTTTCTAAGTAAGTTCCTACTGACTGGTCACATATCATATTATTTCTATTTTTCTCTGGTTAATGTGCCAATCTTTGTATGTGCAGCAATTTTTATTAGATAGTATTTAGTTATTTCATGATATCATACATATATTTGT